GGAATAGGTGCCTGACTACTGCAGTGTATACTGAAGCTGAAGGTGAATAATACTGAATGTCAACTGTAATTTAATATCTATATAGTCACAGATGTGGAGTATAGCATAGGGAATAGAGTCATGGAATTGTAACAGTTACATACGATGTCAGAGGGGTAATAGAATGGGGGAGAGGGGTTATCACTTCGTGAGGGGTGTAAACGTCTATGACATTGTTTTGTACATCTGAAACTAATAAAAAATAAATAAATAAAATACAAATAAAGCTGGAAAAAAAAAGACTGGGGCTGGTAGTAATTTTACTTTGGCTTCTCAATAGCACAATCTCAGTGTTACAATGAATATCAAATGGTAGGACTATAGTCCCTGCAATAAAATTCTGAACCACACATAGTCTTCCATTGTGAAAGTATCTGTATAGATGAGCTTTGCTCTAATGATCCGGTAAACAGAATCATAAGACAAAGCAATAGAAAGCAGTAGTTCTAACAGTGTGGTCTGGGAGACCCCAACAATCTTTCATATGGTCTGTGAGGTTAAAATATTTTTAATAATAATAATAATACCAAGATATCATTTGATTTTTTCACTTTGTTTACATTTACACTGATAGTACAAGGGTAAAAATAGTGGCTAAACTGCTAATGCCTTAGTATGAATAAAAATGATGGTACCAAATTATATTAATAAGCACAGTATTCTTATTCTCCACTTACAATTAAAAAGTGCTAATTTCACTTAAAAAAGTACTTGAGGAAGTGGCAAAATCATAATTTTTAAAAAATTATCACTTATAAGTATATGCCTTTTTAATAATGCATGTCATGAAAAAGTACTTCTGCGGCTGGCGACACGTGATGCACTCCTTAAGAAGAAGCACTTATGTCATTATCCACGTGTGAGGTCAGCTAGCTGCTTCTTTTTGTGGAACATAATTTAAGGTGAAAGAACAACTAACGTTCAAACTATAGTTATGCAATCTTAGGCAATAGGTACAGATTTTCTCAAAAACAAAATGAGCCTGTCACTTCAAAATACAATAATGGTATTTGTTGCCAATGTTAAAATTTGAGCTTTTAAGCAAATACTGGAATTTTGGAAAAATTTCATCCACGATTTGAGTTTGACAACTTTACAACTGTGAAAAACTTCTCTAAAAAGATTGGAGTGGCCATTTCCACATATGATTTTTTGATATTTTATATTGATATGTGTTGACATTTGGGATAACTGAATAACTCAAGAAGCCAATATTTTACAAGTGATAGTACAAAATGGTGCATGGGTAAAGACTCATTCAAAATATAAAGCAGGGCAATGGATTTTAATCTAAAAGAATGTATAGGTTCAGTGATCAGGTTTTGCACTTCATACTGCAACTAACCTTTAATAATCTATTACTTCCAAGTTTTGGTATAATATCAAAGAAGGGTACTCCCAATCATCTGAAAAGGCTATTAAACTGCCCCTATCATTTCCAAAAACATCTGTGTGAAGCCAGAATTTCTTCAACTACTTCAACAGGACAATTATTAGACAGAGTGAATGCAAAAGCACATATGAAAATCCATGCATCTTCATTAAGCCAGACATTATTTGCAAAGAAAATGTGAAACACTGCACTCTCCTCCTCATTATTATTTGTTTGTTTTGGTAGGTATAGTTATTTTTCATAAAAATAAGCTATTCTATATTGTATATGTTAACCTGTAATGAGTTTATCTTTTTATTTAACAAGAATTAAATAGAGTTATAACTCCTCAGTTTTCTAATATGATAAATACACAGAATTCCACATTAGAAATAAGCTCTTTGCAGTCAATGGTAATTTTTAAGAGTGCAAAGACCAAAAAGCTTGAGAATCACTGTGTAGAGTAAATCTAAAAGGAATCTCATAAAAAAAAATTTGTGTGAAGAAATAATCACAGTAGAGTCATAAGATACTTTATATAGCAAATCTTTGAACATCTATTCCAGGCCTTGGGGAAATAGCAGTGAGAGGCCTGCAGGGTCCCACAAGGAGCACATATTATAGTGAAGTGAGTCATATAAGAAACCCATGAAAAAATAAACATACAGAGGAATCCAAAAAAAATGTATACACATTTTTTTAAGATTATGATCTGCCACTCTTCTTTTGTTGTTGTTGTTTTTAAATTACAGTTTATTGAGGTGACAATGGTTAGTAAAATTACATAGGTTTTAAGTATACCATTCTGTAATACATCATCTATATATCCCATTGTGTGTTCACCACCCAGAGTCAGTTCTCCTTCCATCACCATATATTTGATTCTGTTTACCCTCATCTGCCAATTTTTTTTTTCTATTTTAAAATTAGTTTCAGGTGTACAACACAGTGCAATAGTTATACTTTTTACCCCTTAAAGTGACAACTCCCCTCCCCCAATCCACCACCCCACTCCCCCCCACAATATAATACATATCTATTACAATTCCATTGACTCAACTCCCACACTATACTGTATACACATTTTAATAAAGAAAAAAAACTGTATTAAAATTGTAATACTCAATATATACCGATAACAGATGAATATAAGTCATGTTTGACTTTTGCCATTACAAGTGGCGCTCAAAGTGGTTACCATCAGCATCTAGACACTTCTGATTATGGTGAACTACTGCTTGAGCAACGTTGACCAAAGTGTCCATTTGTATACATTTTTTTTGGCACCCCTGGTAGTCAAACAGTGACCTGTCTCATAAATAATACAAAACAAATTATGGAAATAAAGAGTGACTAGCAGACATGGGCAAGGGAGAGATTTGATTTTAGTTGGTCCAGGAATGCCTCTGTCAGGAGGTGACAGTAAAGTTTAGGTCTAACCAGACTTCTGAAGGAGGGGATTGGGTAGAAAAGTAGAAATTTTTGCAAGCGGGACTACAAGAAGCACCTGTCTACAGATGGGAGCAATTTTTTTTTTCAAAAATGGCCAGTGTCATTATGCTCTTACCAAAGGAGAAAGTCCAACTTTATCTTCTTCATAACCATATGAGTAAGGGTTATTATTCTGATTTCATAGATAAAATTACAGGAATGGAGAACTTTTAAACATTGTTCATTGCCATAGAGCCAATCATTTGTAGAATTAGGCTTTTAAAACTATATTCTAAATCAATCCTGTATAGTGTATCTCTTAGGAGAGGTGGTCCTAAGCAAAATAAAAGAGTGGGTGGGGTTGGTGGGAGAGGCAGAGTAAATATTCAGGGAAATTTAATGGTCTTCACTTGTCCTAACTCTAATTACAAGCGAAACACCTCTTATATGTCTACAGCTCTGTTGGATATTATAAGAAGGGATATATAACTTAGAAGCTTTAAGTCCTACCCTGTGGTTAAAGAACCAATATTATAAAAATAAGGGTCAAATGAACGGCTTTTGAAGTAAATAAAATAGGACTCTATAGAAGAGAGATAAGGTTTAGAATTGGTCTGCAGATAGCTGAGATCACACAATCAATTTTTGTTTTTGTTTTATACTCATTCCTACAAACAAAAGTTAAACGTGCCCTACTTTAATAAAACTAGAAATAGAAAAATGAATGTTTATCAGAGTGCTAAATTAGAAAATGAATATATAAATTATCAAAGGTTTGAATCCTTTTCAATGCCCTTACTTTACTACCTAGTGATTTTTCTTAATTAATTTAATATCAGTTAACAGATCATAGTATATAAGAGAAGGTCCAGAACAAAGAAACTGGAAGTTAAATAATTGTTAGGAAATGCTGCTAATTGCTGCCAATCAATCAAAAATGAAGATAAGCCTTTTTCAAAAAAATTAGGAATAATTGATAAAATAGTATAAGGACTTATAGGCATTTGATTTATATTAAAATTGCTAGCGTCCATCTAGTGTATATAAGACATTAAGTTTTCATTTGCGTAAAAACAAAATACACAGGAAAACAAACAAAAAAAGCATCTCCCCGTCTACCACTGTATCATAGGTGCCACAAATATATTTTAAATGTATTAGCCTAAAAGTGAATGATTTTACCTTCTGAAGTATTTCTTTAACTCTTAAATATAAACAATTACCCCCTAACTGTAAAGGAGCAGATTTAATTCTATCCATAAGTTCTCATAGCCTTTTGTGTTTTTTTCCCTAAGCACTCTTCAGATTAATATATTCATTTAAACATTTCATCAATATCTCCTCTGTCACACTAGAAACTCCTTAAGATCTGTCACTGTGTGACTGTTTATTCACCTTGAGCCAGAGTGCACAGTATGATATCAGTACTTCAAAAATTTTTGGTGAAGTAAATTTATGTGTTTCAGCTGTTGAGAAACAGGCTTTTGTGCTGTCCTGTGATCAAACATCCTGCATCACCATGCAATCCTACCCAACCTGTGTGAACCTTTTCCCATGCACTATCAAGCACCAAAAATGATCCTTTTTTCTTACCTGTCAGGGATTTTTTAAAAACGAATTTATACCAATGCATTAATGCCTAATACTGTGTCAACTGTACTATCGGTTTGGTTAGCCATACTCCCAACACACACATAAAGATTTCTATAGCCAGAGCAGAATATTTGAAAGGAATGTGTCACTGACAATGGAAATTCAAGCACAAGGGTAACTTTTTGAGAGTGAGATTGTGGAAGAAACATTTAGTACTCTGAACAACATACTGCATACATAATTAATTATCAGTGTGCTTACATTTGAAATGCTGTGATAATGTTTTCTGATCTTGACTCACTGATCATTTGTTGGTAGCTATGATGTTTCTTATACAGCACAAAGAGGAAACCCATTGTAAATAAATGGTCTAACTTAATTGGGATAGTATAGCTTAAAAATTCTATAGTCAGTAAGAAAGTAAATTAGAATGTGGAAAGAAAAAGAAAAACCAAAATGAAGGCAATACAGTCTAGTCCTAATAAGATTATTTCAAATAGAAATGTTGCCTTTTGATGTGGTTTTTGAACAATTATTTGAAAAAAAAATCATTAGTGGCACTTACCTGCAACTATCAACGTTAATTTTTTTCACTGCCTTAGATGGAATGAAAGATCCCCAGTTATTTACTTCTACAACTTCTATGCAGCCAGTAAAATTCTCAACTGGTCCAGAAATCTAAGAAAGAGAGAGGGAGAGAAAGAGAAAGAGAAAGAATTTATATGATTTTCTTCATATTGCAAACTGGTTAGGACCTACGATCAGGTTGTGGGGCTGATTTCATTTATTCAATATATTGGTAGAAAGTAATTCAACTGTTTTCATAGATATCATTCCAAAAATGAGTAGGAAAAATACCACCTTATTCCAAAGTTATGTGGAGTCTGTAATTTTATTATATGAAATACACTAAGTCACTTACATATGAATTAAGAAAATGTTTCCATTCTTACAGTGTATTATCATTGAAAAATAGGAGAAAAATGAATACATTCATCTTCCCTTCAATGCATTACACTTTTCCATCTTTTGCCTTTGTTTCTTGTGCTTTTCCTTTCAGACTTTAGTACTTTGTTCAAAAACAACATTAGAAACATCAAGAAAAATTGCTCTTTCCTGGGTCAAAGGATACAGAATAAGCTACAAATCCTTGTGACATCCTACAGCCATCATGCTTTCTGCATGCCTTTTGTGTTCAGTCGTGTGGCCTACCCTTCTTAAGAATAATCTGGGCAAAAAAAAAAATGTATACAGAAAGATTGCCATAGGGCCAAAAGAAAATAAGGACATTGGAGAGCATTTGTTTTGATGAACAAATATAACCTCTTAAAGATAAACAGACATATGACTTTTCATTTTATTCACTGTGAAAAATATAATACTAAATTAGTAATTACATGTCTATATAAATTTGTATTTATGTGAAAAAGAGAAATAAAAAAACTAAAAGGGGGCACATCTCAGAATTCAATAGTTAGAAATGAGCATTTATTTCAAGTTCTGTTTTCTGTTATGATATCAATATTATAAAAATTTTCAAGCTAAGATGGACTGACTTATGACCAGGGCAATCACTGAATTTATATACTGAAAAGTTAAGTTGCCTTCCTTGATTTTTGAATTAAAACTATTCACTATGTGTATTCTCAACACTTGGTTTCTCATTGAGTACAATACCGTGAATTAGTAAATGATAAAGTGAAGCCTTTACTACGTTTAGAAATTTTAGGGTGAACATATTTTATTTCATCTTTTACAGTCTTAGTTTAAAAACCTTTAAACACTTTCATCCTCTTTCTGATGTAGGTTCAAATGTACTGCAGACCCTCTCAACAAGTAATACTCTGGCAAGTGTCAAAATGACTGAAGTAGAAAATAAAACAATATTTCACACAGTAAGTTTATAAAAAACTCAGTTGATTACAAGACAAACAGAAACACTTGGCTCTTACATGCTGCAGAAGGGAAAGTATTGATTTGTAATTGTTAACTTAAAGTTTTTATGGGCTACATTAATCTTTTAGGTTTTCACATTTAATGTTTATTTTTATCACAGTTATACATAAACCTTGTTTTAAAATTTTAAAGTTTACTCTACCTCTTGTGAAACACCACAAAGATGTTAATTAGCACAATTTACATTTTAAAAATTAAACAAAAAATAAAATTACCTTAGAAAAGTGCTTTTGATTGCTTTCACTGTGAATGTTAGAACTCAGCAATGGCATAATGTATGTTCATATTTAAACTTACATTTTCTATGTTTGTGAAGATCCTTATTATTTATGAGGATGAAGAGTAAAGAGAAACTATTGCTTTTAAAATAAATATGAAGTCACCAGAGAGCTATGAAAAATGCTCTAAAAAGAAAATGATTCTATGATTACTCTGAGACACTTCTTAGAATTCTGTGATTCAATTTCATTCATATATTATGGATTAAAAAATAAATATTAATTTATTCATCATGGACTTTTAAAAATGGCAAGAAAATTTCCACAGCTTTTAAATTTGAATGAATTCAAAATCCTTCCCTATATTTTCATAGACTCACAACTCTCCAGATCTCTCACACATTAACTTCAGGCAGTCTTGTTCAAGATGGGTCATTTGGTCTCCAAATTTTCAATGTAAGCCTTTTTCACTTTGAATACAGAAATTTTATTTTACAGAAATAAGTCAAACTAGTACCCAGAAATATAAATCTGAATATTAAACTCTAACCACATGTTTTTAGATAATTTGTATTGTTGAAAAAAATTTTTCTCTGGATTTGATTAATTTATAGTAACCTGATTAGTTAGGTTTCTGGGACAGGACTCTTAAAAGTAAAAGGAAAATGTAACATGCATAATTTATATGACAAGATACAAGGGAAGTAAAAGAAAAAAATGAACATCTGGGACTACATCAAACTTAAAAAGTTTTTTCACAACAAAAGAAACCATCAATAAAACAAAAAGGAAGCCTACTGAATGGGAGAAGATATTTGTCAACGAGATATCTGATAAGGGGTTAATATCCAAAATTTATAAAACGCTCATGCAACTCAACACCAAAAAACAAACAACCCAATTAAAAAATGGGCAGAGGAAATGAAGAGACATCTCTCTAAAGAGGACATACAGATGGCCAACAAGCATATGAAAAAATGCTCAACCTCACTAATCATTAGAGAGATGCAAATAAAAACAATAATGAGATATCACCTCATCCCAGTCAGGATGGCTATCATCAACAAACAACAAGTTCTGGCAAGGTTGTGGAGAAAAGGGAATTCTGGTACACTGTTGATGGGATTGCAGACTGGTGCAGTCACTATGGAAATCAGTATGGAGGTATCTCAAAATACTGGAAATGGAACTACCTTATGACCCAGCAATGCCACTCTTAGATTTATCCAGAAAAACCCAAGACATTAATTCAGAAAAATATATGCACCCCTATGTTCATTGTGGCACTATTCACAATAGCTAAGACTTGGAAACAACCAAAGTGCCCATCGGTAGACGACTGGATTAAGAAACTATGGTACATTTACACAATGGAGTATTACTCAGCTATAAAGAAGAAGGAAATAGTACCACTTGCAACAATATGGATGGAACTAGAGAACATTATGCTAAGTGAAATAAGTCAGTCAGAGAAAGACAAATACCATGTGATCTCACTTATACATGGGTTCTATGGATCTGAATAAATGAGAAATGTAAACAGAAATAGTCTCAGAGACACAGAGGAAAAACTGAGGGTTGCTAGTTGGGAGGGCGTGGGGATGAAGGAGAAGGGGAAGGGATGAGACAATACAAATTGGTAACTACAATATGGCCTCAGGGATAGAAAAGACAGTCTGGGGAATATAATCAATAATGTTGTAAATATATCTTAAGGGGCCAGATGGACTCATGTCTTGTTAGGGAGACCACTTCATAGTTGGTGTAGAGGCCTGACCACCACACTGTATTTCTGAAGCTGATGTTGAATAATATTGTATGTCAACTATAATTATATATACATATAGTCACAAGCCATGGAGTAGAGAATGGGAATGGAATCAATGGAATTGTAATAGATAAGTATGATATCGGGGGTGGGAGGGCAGTAGATGGGGGAGGGGGTTTGTTTCTGTGTGAAGAGTGAAATCAAGGATAACTATTGCATTGTTCTGTACACCTGAAACTAACAATAAATTAAAAAGATACAATGTAACACTACATAATAGACTTGTTAAGGACAAGAAATCATGAAGTCACTCATATTAGATTACAGGAATGCTACTGTGGCATGTTATCTTCCTACCAATGAGAAAAATATTGCACTCACATATGCTCCTGCAATTTCCAGCTCTTATTTTTATTCAAGGCAAATAATGAAATAATGACTCCCAGTTATTTCTAAACAATGTAAAATGGCAATGCAGTATGCCACCACAAAGCAACAGAATATGACTCATTGTCTGAGCAGTAATATAATAGTAAAAGAGTTCTTATTATTTAAAATTTCAAAGTTGGGTCCTCTCAAAGTTCTAAATATATCTTCAATAACATATATTTAATTTTTTCTACCTCTATATTAACAGAAGAAAATTTATTTCTATTTCTGGCTTTTGATGGACGGCCTTTGCTCTCACTCCTTTAAAGAGAGTTGAAGTCTGTGAATTATCCATACTGTGTAAACAAGGTTCCATATTAATATTCAATAGCAGTTACACAAGTTTAGACAGAGAGCCTTCATGGTTATAGTTGAATTGCATATGAAATATTTAAAATTTATAAATAAATAACTTTAAATACAAAGATACAATCTCAATTTTTTGAAAATTATGTGTTTAAAAATTTGATGTTAAGTAAAAAAATATATGAAATTGAGGGAAATGTTCATTTTTAATCTTCCTGACAAAGACACAATTACTTGAAGAGTATATGGATTATTGATTAGCCTGCTATTAGATGTTAATTTCAAGAGCCAGATCTCATTATTTTGAATCAGTAAGTTATAAGTTCTTCCTATTTACATTGTTATAATTCCTTATGTTTTTAGTGGTTCACCAGTGTATGTAATCTAAACCAATTTGGCTGAATTCAAGTGACCTTTTAGGTCAGTCAATTTTGAAAACTGAATAAAATTGGTTTGGAATCAATTAATAGTTGATATTACAAAAACAATATTTTCCTCTATTATAGATTATTTTATCAAGTATTTGTTTTGAAAGTTCTATATTAATACATTGTAGTGGTTTGATAAATTTTTGAGAAATATGAAAAAATAGAGATTCTTTCAAGATAGCACTACTAATTGATTAAATAAATGGTTTTCATACTGCGTGATCCAAGGAGCCTAAATGTTTCTCAGAAAAATTCAGGGAACTTTGTTGAGCAGGAGGGGAAAGACTGTGTGTGGAACATCCACTCCCACATTACAAAGGGATAATTTTACTATTATCTGCTTCATATATTGGCTTTCTACATGAAAATTTACTTGAACAAAGCTTCTATTGCTAAAACATTACTTGCATCATGAATTAAACACTTAGAGGAAAAATTTTGAAGATGTGTGTGCTTGAGTGTGAGTAGTCAGTCTGTAATATAAATATAATATCTATCCATCTATTATCTACATATCATCTATGTCTATTATCTATCATCTATCTATTATCCATCTATCAACTGATCAATTGA